AAACCTATCAGAATGTATATATAGTTAAATTGTTTAATAACTTATATCGAATGCGTAGTTTTATTAAAATTATTTGCATATAATTATGAAATGTGTTGGATGTTGTGTAGCTATGCAATGTCCAAAACTTTAGTTGAGCGACTTTGATTTAGTGATTGTACGGCAAAAAGATATTGACTTCGATCTTGAAACCTAATAGTCTAATAAATTCTAAATAGAAAAATTAAAACAGAAGGAAATGAAAATAGTAAATGGCTTTAAATATTGAAATAAACATAACCTTTTAAATCAATTTAGCGAATTCAAGAGACAATTTTAAGGCTTTTAAAATTAAATGGGGGAAAATATATGTAAAAAGAACATTTTTAGATATATAAATGTCCATGCACTATTATAAGAGTTTGTTAACCATTTTATAATTAAGGTAGGGATAAATCTTAGTAATATATACTCCGTATATTTTATTTATATATCAGTATCCATACCTATATACGAAGTATTTGTGTTGTATATTAAATTTAATTTAATCAGCTGTTGGTTAAATACATGACTATTATATAATATATAGTTTTTGGCACAATGCTTAACTTAGGAAAATATATGTTCTAGTAGGTCAAATATAAGGTTATTATTGTGTCTATAGATTTAATGAGTGCGACGGGTAAATAAAACATGTATATATTAGATTGATTGTAGCTACTGATGCGAATGGTATGATAAGAAAATTTTAGTTTTTTTTTCAACGAGAGATATAAATAAATTAGTTCACTTCTTATATAGCTATGTGAAGCATTATTCAATTATTTTTCAATTAATAAAATAACATTATAAAAAATTAAAAGAAATTCAAATAACATAGAACACTATTCAAATAACATTCCTTTAATTTTTTTTTATTGATCATTAGTAACCAAGTCCTTTAATAGTAAATGAATTACCTTTGTTTTTATTTTTATTTTTCCTACGGGTTTAATAATTTGATTTATAAACCGTGGGCACTATGCTAGTTTATTCACTATCACACTTACAAATAATTGCAACTTCAAACTTAATTATGGGTCTACAAGTAAATATGAGATATTAATGCGCATTACCTGTTGGCTGTTTGATAAATTGCCAATGAGAGAAAACTTATTTACCTATTTTAATTTATGGGCTGTCATATTTTCTTCTTTTGTTTAATTTGTATTATTATTATTTTTTTTTTCTTACTTTTCTAGGTTGAGATATAAAGTTTGGGTTTGACACTTGGACTAATAGGATGTGGCCATGCCTCTGTTTATTAACCAAGATGGCCAAATGGCCAATGTTTCAAAAAAATTAAAATGATAAGAATAATAATAATGAGATGGCCAAATAGGGATATTTTGAGATAGGTCCGTTAACTATACCTCATGCTATAATACAAACTACGGAAAATTATTTTGTGACATTTTGTTGAGCTGTGTTGTCTAATGATTCAAGGTTTATGTCCGCTTTTTAGGATTGTCCATGATTTTGGGTTGGATTTGAATACCTAATAATATCATCAATTCCGATCCTTGATTAAGTGTTAGATTTTAAAATTTACAATATTGTGGACCTATTAAATATCAATGCAATGAAATCTTGACTCCATTATGTAGTTGTGGTTGTTATTGACATTAGGATTAAGGTAGATAAATATGATTACGAGATAGTAATTTAGGAATCTTATATGATTAGAAGAGCTTGATTGGAAAACAAAAATTATGAAATTGTACAAATATGTGATTGATTAATGATAAATAAAGTGCTACTAATATTGAGATTAATGAAGATATATGAACATAATGAGAGTATTTTATATGTTATTGGCGTATGTCCTAGATTTCTAGGGCATGTTTATTTCAGATTATTTTCAGTTTAATTAAACTCCAATAAGTCCAATTCAGTTTAATTCAGTCAATCAGAATAAGCCCCTAGATGATATAAATATGGTCTATGGAATACTTCACTCATTCAAAATCACATGACCAAAAAGAGTTTTTAAAACATTTCTACAAGTAATTGCTCACTCAGCGGCTAAGCACCCTCCTCATATCAGGGTAGAGGCCTTCCAAAGAGAGGTTTGATAGATACCTGAACATACATATCAAGGGGCATAAGAGACATTTCGCATGAAACTTACACATCTCTCTCCTCTTTTCTCTCACCCTTATGTGTTGAATTTAAGTGTACCAATGGGTGATTAATAGTATCACTAGATGATCAAATAGTATCATTGGACATTCAGTGGTACTATATATTCATTCAATGGTATTGTATATTCATTCAGTGGTACTAACTACGTGTAGAAATAGTATCACTACATAGTCAATGATATTATATAAGCTTTCAGTGGTACATTTAAAACTAATCTCACGTGCCCATCTCTCTCCTCCTTTTCTCTCACCTCCATGTGCTTTAGAATACTTTTCCATATTTTAATGTTTGATATGTATTTGCACATACATATCAAACCTATATTAGTACTTCCTCATCAGGGTATACCTTAAATGTACTACACCTTAAAGATTAAACATAAATGCTTTAGATGAGTTAATACTTCGTATGAAATAATAAAGAGTATCTTATTTGATTAATTTTTTATTTTGTAGTTGTGTTAACTATTTTAATATTTATTTTTATTAGGGGTTTGTAGTGACCGTTCGAGCGCGAGTGATTGGGTGGGAGGTTTCTTTTGGTGCAAGGACAGACACAAACCCACCAGCCCGACCCATCAATTACCCCCTTCTTCTACGCGAGTTCAAATTTATGCCTTCAGACAACAATGATTACGAGGAGATGATTTTAAACAATGTTCCCTTCAATGGCAAGATTTGTACTGAAGTTCAAAATAATAGTTTTAAAACAAAAAAATTAGTGTATTTGTGTGTTGCCCGTAGGCAAAGTAGTTAGTGTATGTGTGTAATTTGAGTATCTTATGTTTTATTTAGGTACCAACTTGGTTTTACCCTATTCTTAAAGTAGGGGTTTTACAAATGGGTTTTATTTATTGTATTGTGTTATTAAACTTATTTTAGATGTTATGTATTTTATATTAACTCGTTAAAAACTCCATACTAATGTTAGTATGTAGGTTGAAACATTATCATTTGGTATGTTAGTATGTAGGTTTATATGATAATGTATAGATGGAAAAGAATGGGGTGTTATTTGTGAGATATACTAATGTTAGTATGTGGGTTGAAACTTTTAATTATGGAGTATTATTTGTGAGATATAAAATATTTTAAATTTGCAACTAAAATTTAATGGAGATCGGGAGATAATACTCATAATATAAGACTATCCTATGATATTTTTTCTTGAATTTGTTAGGTCCCCAAAAGTAGGTTTAGTTTGGAGGATGAAAAGTTAAGGCAAGGTTTTACATACTCTCAAACAGAATAACCTTACCAAATTAACCTACTCTCTCCATCTCTAAATTACTCCTTCCGTTTTTAAATATCTACTCCACTTTTTTAATTAAGCCGTTTATAAATACTTGCTCCATTTTCTTATTTGGAAAGCTTTTAAAATATTAAATTAATTTTCTTTCATCTAATGATGGATCCACTATGACAATATTTTATTATTTTCATATTTTCTGATCCACCATGACTATATTTTATCATTTTCATATTTTCTCTCCTCCAATTCTCTCCACAATTTTTGTTTTTTTTAAAATGTTTTATTCTTCCACTTATCCCACTAACTCCATATAATATTACTTTCTCTAATATTTAAAAAACGGAGGGAGTACATTCTTATTTCTAGTATTTATTCCTTATATAATAAAAAAAAAAAAGTAGAAGTATAATTTAAGGATGGAGGGAGTACCATATTAAGGACTTGAAAATTTTAACTTTTCTTTTTTATATACAAAAAAAAAAAAAAAAAAAAAAAAAAAAAAAAGATTTTACAATCAGGTTGCTCTTTTTGGATGCATATTTAATGGCAAGGCCTTTAGGGAATTGGTCAGCCCTGCAGTTAGTAAAGCTTAATTACATTGCCCTCCCCACTTAACATAAATAAATATCAAAGGTGATGTTTGAATTCAATTACTCGAGTTTGACATGGTTATATTTACTTAGACCATCAACACTCATGGTATAAAAATTTATACCATCTATCTCTCTCGACTACTTTCTCACTCTTTCTCTAAAAATCATCCCACCTATCTATAATCTATCTATAATCAATACTAAAATAAAAACCATTGACATCATCAATTTTTTAAATTGTACACGTGTCAGCTTCTCCTTATATTTTTTCCGCCTAAAATTTTTTAATTTTTCTCTTCCCATTGTCTTTATTTATTTTATTTTTATTTATTTTGAAAAAGCTAAATATTGACTACAAAATACTTTTATCTTAAATTTCATATAGCTAATCTTAAGGAAAACAAATATTAACCCTGTATATATGTGATTACTCCGCCTAATTACAAAATCCAGAATTTTGTTGTAAATGATTTTTTTTTTTTCATTATACAGAGTACTATTTTAAATTTTGAATATGACTTGAAAATGCATGTATACAATTATAAATTCTTTTTATTATAGCAAATCTAGTGGTATAAAAAAAATTTACCGCCACACTTTCTCTCTCCTATTTGTATTAATAATACACTTAATTTATTTATGATTATATTTCATTTTATTATTGGAAATACCTAATTAATGTTTGTATAGTTAATTAAATAAATAAGCAATTTAGGTAGTAAAAAGCGAATTCGAAAAAAAATTATAAAACTATTAACAGTGGTAATTTTTTTTAATACTTTTTTACTTTATAATTTTTTTCTTAAAATACAATTGAAAAAAAAAAATTGCGTGATAATGCGCGTGATCTGGTTGAGGACCAAAGCAAATATTTACCATGAGATAGTACATACCATCACAATGTAATAGGTAGTGGGGTATAAGTTTGAAGAGAGGAAAGAAAGAAATGAGTTAGTGGGGACTATTAATTAGTAAAAAGTAGAAAGAATAATATTAAACAAAAAAGAGAATTTACTATAAAATGAAACATTTCACAACCGCAAAAGAAAAAAATTTCATTTATTTAAACATGGAGAAAGGATTACTCATTTTGAATTCTATCACCTAAGCTAACCAGAACAAATTGAAATAGCTACGGCTCTTTATCATAGTAGCTAACTAAAATCACCATGCTGCTCTTGCGGCTGTCGTGGTGTGGTGGTGTGGGTAGGGTTTCAATACTTTCCTTCTGTGCAGATACATAGTACCAAGTGTACAAAATCAGTTTTGCTACGGCAAGTATAGCTCCAGCAGCATTGCAAATCTTCTCGCAAGAAAAATAGATTGGTTTAGGATACGATTACTAGCATTAAAGTGGCCCAACTTTAGTTAGCAATCTTTGACACAACACAACAATATGACCGATGAAGTTATTAAAAGAAAACACGAAGTCGACACAACACAAAACCAACCCAACTACAACCCATTTAGATAAAGTGATCAAATCATGCAATTATCCTACTTTTAATATAGTTTTTGATAGATTTTGTGAACAATGCAAAATTAACACGAGACCAAATACGAATATGAATAGATAAGACTTTATGCTAGCTCTACACACCTAATGGATCAAAGCTTTCAATAGAGCAATAATAACAATGAACAAAAAAATGTTTTTCTTAGCATTTTGATGATCATATTTTATCCCACCTAAATTTTTCAATATTACATTATTTTTTTCTTTTTTTCTTTTTTTTTTTTTTATAATTTGCCTTGTAAGCCCCACATTATTACTTTTCATCTTGAAAAATGCTCATAATGCTCATCCTATGAGCATTTTTCATTTATCTCATTAACAATTTTGTTTTGCTCATTGTTATAAGTCATTTATTTCACACAAAATTTTGATCATGAGCATTTTTTCTCATTGCTCGCAATGCTCTATAAGGCAAGAGAATGGAAATTGTGCAAATGAAATGAGCTGTAAATCCTGTAATTGATTACCAGAATGTAGTGATCAAATTTTTTGATGCAGGCATATGCACTCCAAATGACTCCGTTAAACAAACCAGCAATCGAAAGAGACAATGGCATGTATTCAACACTCTTTGTAGTTATGACCTTCAGCTGTTGGCAAAGGTACAACTACATGAGAATATATTTTTGTACTCAAACTCGTATAGATAAATATGTAATAAAAACACAACTCCCTCCGTCTCTAAATTACATTCTTCTTTCTCTCTATTATGTAAGGAATAAATGCTAGAAAGAGAAATGTAATTTAGGGACGGAGGGAGTACGGAGAATTACATAACATAAAGAAATACCAAGTACGAAAGTAAGAGGTGTAAGACTCAATACCATTACAGTGAGAGGTGCACCATAAAAAAGGATTCCAAAGATGACATAAAAGATCCCAACAAAGTTAGACCATGAAGTATGGGTGTGGAATGCTAAGAGTGTGATGCAGATTAAGACAAACAGAACCACAACCTCGGCGTATAAGTATATGCACATTGATTTCTGTGCTACAACAACAGAAACTAATTACCTTTATAAATCAAAAACAGACTATTCAGTAAACAACAAATAATTGAATATGAATAAAATTCAGGAGATTCTCTTCGGATCAATTCTTACCCTACTGAAGCTGTCACCATAGTATGAGTATACAACGTAGTAGAAAATGTAGAGAGCAATTCCAACACAATTATTAACTGGAGTAAGAAGAATGGAGTGCGGATTCGAGTGTACGAACGGCATTGAGTATAGCACCCACATTGAACAACTGATTAATCCAGCCACAATAGGGTGAAACTTATATTCCTCATTATCTTTTTGTAAATATATCCTCCAAATTGTAGGCCTGTTAGTTAATTACATACCTATATCTTAATCGATATCACACTATATGTACCAAGTACAAAGTATTATATACCGAGTGACAAATTGTATGCAAAAATTATAAATTAGATTGATCATGACTTTAACTATGTAATTAGCACGTACTAGCATCTAAATGGGTGAAATCATACACATCCAAAGACATCTTAGAAAATACAAGCAAAACCAAATTAATCTATACATAGACATTCATAATTATTCAATATAGTTTTAAGCCGGTACAATTTAGTTAATTTAATAATTATCACAATTAAAGTACTAATTACATATGAAAGACTGAGACAAAGTATAATAAAAGATATATAAAAACATACGCAAGAGAGCAAAACATGAAAAAGGATGTAACATTGCCTGCAAAAGTAATCAATGAATCATTATTAGCACTAATTAATTGTGTGAAATAACAAAATTAGTTATTAGCACTAATTCCTCTGTAATAAGAAGAAAGCATACAAAAGCTTGATTAATGATTAAGCAACTTATAATTGCACTCTAGTACTCCATAGTAAAACATCCTTCGCCAATATTTCTACCGTTTTACTGACAGATACCTAAGCTCCACCATATTTATTTTAATTTAAATTTTTTACTTAATCATTACCAAAAAGTAACTAAAATTAGTATAATTTCACTTTTTTAAATCAATATTTATTAGCAATTACTCAATTTTAGCATGCTTATCAATTTTAGCAATGAATCAATATGAGATATATACTTGTACTCCGTATAAATTTAAGATTATTTATTGGAAAATTATCTTTTGTGAAATATCCTTCGTGAAAATATTTTAACGAGGAAGATTATACGGAGTACTGTATTTGTAGAATTTATCTCTCTGCCTTCTTTGAATTCATTGAGTTTTACCTTTTATTCTGTAGCAATTTTCGTGTTTATGTGAGTTTTTTTTGGGTGTTACATCCAGTTCACCTTTTAAGCTAATCCGGATTTGGGATCAATTTTGGGTGATTAGATTCCAATCTCCTTCAAAATATTGTTACGGGGGATCAAACACGGGTTCATCACTAAACCAACAACCGATTAGTAGCGTTCATCTGAGTTGTTAAGGTTTAGGTTAGGATAGAAATTACCTCCATTATTACGAGTTTACGTCATAATACAAATAATTGAATTCAAGTTCTTGATTTCGTATACTAAAAAAAAAAAAAAAATTAAAAAAGCAAGATTAATAAGTCACATAATAATTTATTCAATGTGAAGTACGATTAGGTCGATTACCACTCCTATAATATAATCATAAAAAGTATTACTATCCATGCATTAAAAGTAATTCTTCATACCAATAATTACAATAATGCTCATAAAATATATAGAGAAGATTAATTGTTCATACCAATAATTCCAAGAATTGTAGGAAGATCAAGATTCATCATCATCGTTGCTTAGCTTCAAGAAACAAAGGAAAGTGAATTTTGAGAGAGAAATTAAAGAGCAGTGGCAGATCTGGAAGATTGTTGGACTAGAATTATTGATATGATCAGAAAGTGGGATAAGAGTTCTTGCCTTCTCAGATTCTCTCCTCCTTTGCCTAACTCCAAACTAACGATAGTGTACCTATAGGACGTAACAACTGACTGGCCCAGTACCAGAGAATGGCATAAATCCCCACGCTTCTTTAGTGTGGAATGACGATTATGGGCCGGATAGAATTCGGAAAAATAATCCAAAGTTGAGATTATTTTGAGTAAAACGGTGAAAGTTGGGATTATTTTTGTCAATTTTTTCGGAATTTTTTTTTTTATAAATTACTATAATTTTTAATTTGTTTATTGGTTTTTTGTGTAATGAAAAACGCTCCTCAGCAATGAGCTAGCTCTACTAAAGAAATTCCAAGACACATTACCAAGGAAACTACTAACATGATAAATATCATCCAATAGACCAATACTAAATGAAAACTACTCCTCCCACGGTCTTGTGACGAAATTGTGTTAACAATACCAAGGCAATCGCTCTCCACCACCACTCTTGTGAACCCCGCTTCCACTGCAGCTTTTATCCCCAAGAAAACAGCCTTAGCCTCAGCTACATTTGGCATCCAACGATCCTCTGTCATCCTCACAGCAGCAAATAAAGGCTTCCCCCTACTGTCTCGGACAACAGCCCCAGCATAGGACCCCAACCCCTCGCAAGTGTCCCCATCCATATTGAGTTTTACCCATCCCTCCCTTGGTGGCTTCCAACGTTGCTTAACACCCTACCCAATACTCGCAAATATTTCTTCCTTCTCTTTGACATCGCACAACTGCTTGACCATATAATAATAATAAAATATAAAAAAAATATTAAACAAATCAATATATGTGTGTTGGGTGGAGTGAAACTACATAGCTCTATAAAGCTATGTAGTTTGGCCTAACTACAAAAGGTTATAGCTCCACAAAGGTTAGCATATAGCTAGCAATTAATTAGAAATTCCCAACAGATCCTTATGGACAACCATTAAAGCACTTTATCATGTAATATCGCTATATTATTTATTATTATTTTTTTGAAACCTAATATTGCTATATTATCGAGGGCGATAAATCTAACTTTAAAATGAGCAAACGCAATCCATTCTCATTGGCTTCTTTTATTTCTCAAAAAAAAAAAAAAAAAAAAAAAAAAACAAAAAAAAAAGGCATTTGGAGACTTACATAACTTGAACAGTTTAACTTAATAATGAGTTAATTTTGTTTGCCCCTCTTGTGAGAAGCTTGACTTGCATATGGGAGCTCAATTATGCAATTTTACCCATTTTGTGGGAAGTTGATCACTTGATCATAGAAAGTGCTATGTATCTATTAAGCAAATTTTACTTTCGGAGTATTTTACATGTCACCCAAACAAGCAGTCATGTTGGAGCATCATAACATGAATGAAAGACTCCAATCTCAAGGGTAAAATAATTCTATTGGATCCAGTCAAAAAAGGAACAAATAAAAATAAAACTAATGGCTGGGTTAAAGATTACAGTAGAAAACTAGTGAATCCAAAGACAAAATTGTCAGTTTTATTACATTAATAGTGCTTTAAATTTCTTTTAAATCTATGGGAACCAAGTTTAATGAAGTGCTCCTCTTCATAAATCTCCAAATAATGCAACAAGCTCTTCAAAATTATGCATCAGTCAGAGAATGACAAGGAGAGACCACTGTAAGACATAATAGGGTGATAAATCTCATCTATTTCATTCCAGTATAGCTAAAATTACAGTGAAAAAATTGCATCTTCTGAGCAAAAATTACATAATCTCACAAAGCTTAGCTTCGCCATATCTACCCTAAAAACCTCTCTCACAATTCTAGATGAAGCAATTTTCTCGTATTTGGGACCTATGGGATTCATCAAATGAACAGAAATCCCCTTTCCAAGTTGGTGACAGCATTAGAGTCGACACAATACAAACATGTTTCTGAGACATGCTGCATAAATTAGTCGCATTTGATGTTTTTGTAGATCCTTCGAACAAAAAGGTTGGAGCCCAGGAATCCTACAGCCCCTGATATAAAATATAGTAAAAAAAAATATTAATTTCACAAGAAAATAGCATAACACCTCAAATTCAAGCTAGAAGCATTACAGTGGAATTTAATGACCATCAGTCTCAGAGACCCTGCCCTGCCGTGGCAGGAACCTTTATATAGAAGCATAAAGTGTGATAAATGAGAATAACAATGTATGATTATCAAACAAAACTCATGTATTTCACAAGTAGAATCCCATGATACATGAGGATCTCCAGGAATTGAGCAAGGAGATTAATCAACAGAGAAGTCTTTTTAAAGATACTTACCACAAAGAATTCCTAGCCCAAGGCAGAACATCAAAGTGTAACCAAAATAAAAGCTGATCTGGAAGAAACCCGTCATCTTGGTCTTCACATGATAGTAATAAACTGCATATAGGTAGACATATATGGCAGTAGACGCAGCAGAAAAGAATGAAGTCCATTGCCAGTGGTAGTTTTCAGCATTCAACAAGAAATAAGTTCCCACAATCGTCACACAGACAGTCACAATGATGAGAATCAGAAATACAAGGAGCATGAAACCATAAACATAGTACACCTGCAAGTGTAAAACAACATAAATAATTTTTTTTTAAAAAAAAAAACAAAGTAAAATAAGAAGCATGATCAGCTGGACAAAAGTACAGGAGCAATTATCAAGACAAATAACTATTGAAAAGAATGGAGCACCTTGTAATTCCAAAAGGATGTGAAAACAAAATACATCTCAATGAAGATGCTCCCAAACGGAAGCAATCCACCCATAAGAGATATCACTGAAGGAGTCAGATACCATTTCTTCTCAGGGATAGGTCGAGGAATAGTCTTAACCCGACATGGATTGTTTGGAGATCCACTCCAGTTTCTTCCAACAACGGTGCCAAGGAGTGCAAGGGGGAAGGAGATGAAAGCCCAAATAACAAAAACTACAACCATAGTTCCGAAGGGAATAGCAGCCAGAGAACCATAGAATATAGCAATAGTGTTCAAGATGAACCCAATCCCAAAGCACAAAAATGGGAATAGGGAAGCTGTCAAAATCATCGTCTTGATCCAACTTTTGCCTGAAAATTCAGAGAATATATCCATCATCATTTTATTAAAACAATTAGCATTAAAAACTGAAAATGATAGGTAGGTTGATAGTTTATTAAGTTACAAGAGAATTATCACTTACCACCATTACGAGAGTACATTCCACCACTCACATACCCTGATATAAATGATGTCAAGGCATAACAAACAATAAATGTTGTGACAATGGCTCCCCTCCTGAAACAAAGATAATAATACTGATTTTAGAAAGTAATGTGACTAGATGTAGTGATATAATAGTCTTGTACACAATAACAGAGTACAAATGTCAACACTTCTGATGTAAAAGAAATAGAAGAATAAGTCATTCAAATTATTAATCTAGTGGTGCAGCACAGATGACATAGAGATCCTTGCAGTTATATAATTCAAGCTAAAGATGACTCGGATTATCAAGTATCTCATACATACCCTATATACAGCATTCCAATAATTGCCAAATTGATGACAAGGAGAACCAGAGTTGCCAGCTGGGCGCCATTACCAACAACAGCTGAAAGCAGAGCTAAGTTGCGAGGAGAACGGAAAACATCTCCATGAACAAGTTTCCAACCAGACTCTTCATTAACATCCCTTTCCTGATCATAAAAATCCAACTTCAGCTAATATATATAATATAGTGCAGCAAATGATAGAATGAACAAGATAAGAGTCTCACCAAGGTTTCCAAGTCATCATCCTCCCTAGCATACTTTGCATAATCATTTCTAAGAGTACGCATCAATATCATAGATACCAACCCAGTCAAGAAGATAACCATCATGAACGAATTGAAAATGGAGAACCAATGGATCTGCCAAAAAATTAAGTAGATAAGACCACTATCCTTAATATGAACATAAGATTACACGATACTTCTTTTAAACCGAAGAGAGCATCTAACTAGTTACAAAAGGTATTAAAAAAATTAAACATTTAGAACCTCAACAACATGCCACATGAAACTAAGAAAAAATCCCAAAACAACAAAGGCAGGACACTTCAATTCAGCAAGCTAATAGTAAAAACTAAAAAGCATAATCAAACTTCAGTTAGATTAGGTGTGCAAACCTGGTGCTCAAAGAAGGGATAATCCAGGTATACATCAAAACGCTTGGCAAAGGTAACATTTGTAGGAATCCATTTGACAGTGTATGTCATGTCATAGACCTTCCCCTCTTCCACTGGCTTGGCACCGTCCTGAGTGAGATTAACATGAATGATCTACAAAATAGGCATAGCATATTCATAAGTTATTTATAAATGGTAAAATAAAGTCTAAACAGGAAAGTCATAGAGCTGAGATACAAAGGGTAAGTAGAGTCACCTGATTGCCATTATATTTAATGACGAAATTTTTGTTTGTATACAGAACATGTTTAGCATTCTCAGTGTTTTTATCAAAATGCAATTCTCCAACAAAACCTGTGCCGCAGTAATAAAAGTTAGAGAAATGAAACAGGAATTAAATTTTACATTAATACTGAGTAGGCAGGGAAGAACAAATGCGTACCCCATAGTGGTAAATCGTCTGAAGGTTGTTGAGCAGACAGGATGGTTAGATGGAAAACAAAAAAATCAGTCATGAGAAACAAGGGAAACATATTTAAAATATAAGCTGCTTCAATGTTGCTTGACATCTGAGTGTCACTAGTAAATGAAAGAAAGTGAGGACTGACTACTGAGGAGATTTCGAGGGTATCATAAATATATCACATACCAATAAAGAATTCAAACCAATAAGAATTTTCAATAGCATCTTTGAACTGTTTGGCCTTGGTAGGATCAAGCTCAAGTTCACACATGGTTGTCTTGTCAGTACTTTCTGCCAAATTAAAATAGAATAACATCATTAAGTAATATCTGAATTCACACCCAAATTCTAGTGTACATTTCACAGAATTCACACAGCCATAGAAAAATGAACAGAACAGCCAGTAGCAGACATAATATCTGAATAGAGAACCAGGACTTACTTCCAAACTTGAAATCAATTTGGCTATCAATAAGTTCATTTCCACCGAGAACCTCACCCAAGCCACCCCACCTGTGGCCAGAATTCCCAGATGGACGGCAAAATGGAAGGCTGAAGTAGTTATAAGTTTCTTGAGGATTGTTATATGGACCAACTTTGTTCACCCAAAGAGTTACATGTTCACCTGCTTCATACTATATGAATTCAAAATAAGAAACAAAAAAAATGAGTTTTAACTTCAAGGAATCCATCAAGAAAGTAACAGAAACATGCACTCTTACAAGCTGATAAAAACAATGTATGTCATTCACACAACCACACTAATCTCTAGTTCTCTATCATAAATTAAAAAAAAAAATAAACACTAAAAACCTTGATTGGAGAGGAAGGAAGGGGGATGCATCAATCAGATGAGGATAATAAAGCCGCAGATGGGGGAAGGGAGTGTAAAAAAGGAATGATTTTAGAATCAGAGTCCATTGTGGACAAAGTAAGAAAGATGCCAATGATTTATTTCTAGCAATAGTTTCAGAATCAACCAGTTTACCTAAGAGTCCTAGACTGAGACACTTACAAGAACAACTAGCGCAAATAAGTAGTGCCTCTACTAAACTTTCCAAAATAATGGAAACAGCTAGACACAAAAATTTCAGGCTGAATGGTTTCGTCAAATGAAACCATCAATTAAAATTGGCTAGGGTACATCACTGCTAGTTGCCAGGCTCGTATCCTCTAACAACCTCAAGCATGCTAGGGTACATCATTGCTAATTGCCAGGCTCGTATCCTCTAACAACCTCAAGCGTGCTAGGGTACGTCACTGCTAATTGCCAGGCTCGTATCCTCTAACAACCTCAAGCATATCCAATTACTCATGATTCCATGAAACTATGGTAACTTCTCCAAACCAAACCCGTCCTATTGCCCCAGATTTACTACAAATTCAAAACATCATAAGCCGGGGTTTACAGCCACAGCAATGACTCAAGATCATCTAACCTATGCTTAATTACGAGATTGTACACCTAAACTGCTCCACAATGCCGAGAACTGTACTAATACTGATACATTGTTGAAATAACAGCCAAAAATTCATGGGATCATGGTAACAAAAATTGAAAGCATCGTAAATTACTAATGAAATCCAGTTATTTTGATTCCAGCGGTCCAGCATTACCTTCTTTTGCTTCAATTATCCCCATATTAACAAGCAAAATCCAATTAATCTCCTCAATTTCCCACAAAATTGCCGAGAAATTTATACATCGGGAAAAGCAAACTAATTTGTTCCCGATTTAATTATAAAAATGGGCATCACAAATTTCACATTAATTAATTAAATCAATCCAAAAAACCCCACGATCACAAAATTCAGCTCATTTTTCCCAACCAAATTAATATCAACAAGATCTAAATCAACAGCACACAAAAGATCAAATCAAACCCATAATGCGAAACAATGCAAGATTAAAGATGAAATAATTAAAACCCAGAAACCCAAGTACCTTGTGATCGGACTCGGATGCAAAAACGGGTGAAAAAGAGAATAAAACAACGGTGAGGATGAGGAGGGAGATAGATCCGACGGTGGAAGAGGGCATGATTGCAGAGGAGAGAGAATGTGACCTCAGCTAACGGTCGGATCTGCTAAAAGACGAGTTGATTTGTGGAGAAGAACAACAACCAGCTTTGGAGAAAAAATTTCGATGAATTAATTTTTTTATTATTTTTTGAGAAAATTAATATACTTGATAGTATTACGCAGTAATAGTATCATAGTTTGGGTGTATAATTGTGGATTAGTATTGGGTTGATCTTGATTAAATCTGGAAATCTGGAAAAATATTAAAGGGCTCTTTGTTGCTAAATGCTAATTTATGGTGGAGAGGTGCTGAGTACGTCGAACTTTGGGATTTTAAAAATAATAAAAAAAAAAATATACGGAGTATAATTTAAGGAAATAGTTTTTTTGGGCTTCTATGTAATGGTAAGAAATGTAGCCCAGCCCATCCCAGTGCAATGGCCTATATTACAAAGAGTCAAAGACATTCCAATCATTCTTAGTCACAAAGAGAGATTTCTTGGCTATGGTCTACTAGAACAAACAACAAATTAAAAGTTATTCTTTATGGGGGTCATAGTTACCACTAAAGTAGTTGAAGTTACCCTCAAATGACTGCTTTACAATTAAATTAACATACATCCGTCTTACACCAAATATATTGATAAATGAAAAGTCTCGGATTTGGACTTTGGGTACACAACTACACACTATTGTATACTTGAATTTGGATAGCCTTTATCAGATATATTATACACTTATACCTCCAAATTAGTTGAACTAAACAATGTATTCATTTCTACTTAGATTTTCATATAATATATACACAGTTTTAAGTAATTGCAATACAATTTAAGCTCGATATAATTTATTTGAAATCATTTTATCAAAACTTTTTTGAAAAGAGATTCAATTAGTTGAGAAATGAAATGTTTACAACTTTTTTTCACAACTCTACGGCCCTGCATTAAACTATTAAAAAAGAAGTGGGCCACAAGTAGTATCAATCACCGAATAAACCCAATTAACCTATACTAAAATAGTAAAATCTCAATCCTAATCCAGGTCAGATACCCAAACCCATAATACTGTAAGAATTAACAATCCAACTCGAACATGAAGGTAGAGAAAGACACTGGTACTCATGCCAACCCACATGCTCCCCTTTAGAGTTTAGACCTGGCAAACAGGTCATTTAGGTCAAGTTCGGGTCAAGTCAGTTTAGGTCGAGTCAAGTTCGGGTCAGCAAGTCTGGGTCGAGTCGGGTCGATTTGTGTTTCTGGTCAAAATCAGGTCAGCACTTCGGGTCAAGTTTGGGTCGGGTCAAGTTTGGGTCAGGTCAAGTTCGAGTTGTGTCAATTCGGGTCGGGTATGTTCGGGTCTGGTCAATTTTAAGATCAATTTTCGGATCAATTTTGGGTCGGGTCAATTTCGGATCGAGTCAATTCGAATCGGGGCTATTCCGGTCAAGCTTGTGTCGAGTCAACAAAATAAATTCACTTTAAAAAAAATTGTTGGAAAAATAAAGTAAAATCGTTAAAAAAAATAAAAAATCATGAGTACCTATTACGTAGGAAATAAAGAAGCCCTAAACTAAGTAATTCGCTATTTCACCCTATTAACTTAGGATTCGGGTCGGGTCACCACGGGTCGGGTCGATTCGGGTCAATCGGTTTGGGTTAAAATCGGGTCGGTTCACTTTGGGTTTCGGGTCATTTCGGGTCGGGTCAAATTCGGGTTTTGGATCAATTTCGGGTCAGGTCATTTGGGTCGAGTCACTTCAAGTCATCGGGTCATGTTCGGGTCAAATCTATTTCGGGTCGATTCGGGTTAGTTCGGGTTCAGGTCATTTTTTAGTCAATTTTCGGGTTATAGGTAAGGTCATTCGGGTCAGGTCAATTAGTTCGGGTCAGGATTGTCAGATCTACTCTCTATTACGCATAATAAAATGACGAAAATTCATACACCATGTGCATGTGCATCCTTCCGCCGCTTCCAATTTTCTATTTTTTTTTTTCTTGGAAACCTCCCAATTCTTAATTATTTATTCCTTCTTACTCCGTATTTCTTTTCCTTGTTACACCAGAATCACCGGAAAAAGTCATCCCAGAAAACAAAACTAAATTTTAAAAAAAAATGAAGAAAGATTTCCCGATTATCAAATAATGACACTGAAAACTCTTCCGGTAATCTTCCAACCACAACAATCTTCATCGTCTTCGATATTATCCCCATTTTCATGGCTTTTTCTCAACTGTCGTCGCCGATTCATCTTCCTTACCATTTGTTCACCACTTTTACTCCCTCTTCTCTGTCTATTGTTTCCCGTCATTTGTCTCTGTCAACTGTATTTCTGTCTCTGCCGCCGTCATCGGCGCCTGCGCCGGAGATATGACGCCGGATTACGGCGGTGTGAGGAAGGAAGAGGAGGAGAGATAGTGGAAGTTAACGAAGATGATGAGGAGAGAGAATTAGGGTGGATGTTGTTGCAGAGGTATTTGGAAGATCAATTAGGGCTTGTTGGATCTGTGATTTCTGTTTATGATTGTGGCGATGATGATGATGATGATGATGATTTTGATATTGATCGTCATCAACATATTCCTGATGATACCAGAACACCTTTTCTGAATTAATTTGAAGTTTTTTATTTTTATTTTTAGGATTAAAAAAAAAAAATTGACATTGGTATACTGTAATAGGAGTGAACTGTTAAACATCGCCCGCAAATTCCTACATAAAGCCCACAAAATAAGAGTGAAATGACACTTTTGCCCTCATACTAAAAAACACACAATTTCTCTCTCTACTCTCTACTTCCACTTTCTCTCTCTAAATTATTTCCAGAGCTATGTCGAGGCGGCCCGGCAAGGAAGTGGCGGCACCGGCGGTGGGCGGAAGGCGGTTTGCCGGCCAGAAGGTAAATTTTTTAATTTTTGTAATTTTTTTTAAAAAAAAAAACCTCCGGCGACGGTGGGGCGCCAAGGCGAGACGCCACCACCACGGCGGAGGCGCCAAGGCAAGGCGCCCAAACGGTGGTGGCGGCGCCAAGCCCAGACGCCACTACCACGGCTGTGGCGCCTAGCCTCTGCGCCGCCGCCGTGGTAGTGGCGTCTGGGCTTGGCGCCGCCACCACCGTATGGGCGCCTTGCCTTGGCGCCTCCGCCGTGGTTTTTTTTTTAAATTTTTTTTTTGTTTTTTTTTTAATTTTAAATTTTATTTTCGATATTTTTTTTTTTTTTTTAAAAAAATTTGTTTTTCTTTTTTTTAAATTGTATGTTCCCTTTTTTTTTTATCTTTTTTTTTTTAAATTTTTTTTTTTATTTGTTTTAATTTTATAATTTTTATGTTTATAATTTTATTTCCGTGACTTGTTTATTTGCTTTTGTGTTTATTTTCGACTTTTTTTAATTTGTTTTCGTTATTATGTTTCGTTATTTACTTGGAGTTAGGCATCGCAATTTAGACCTGGTGCGGGGAAGAGTATTGACGTCGTGAGGAGTACGATCTACTCAATGGAGAGCTCGGGGCCCAGACACGTTAGATCCCGTGGTATTCGGCCTCGGCCCGCAGAGAACGGGTGCACTGTTCTGCGGACGATCAAGATGATGATGATGATGATGAGGAGGAGGAGGAGGAGGTCGAGGAGGAGGAGGTCGAGGACGAGGATGATGCAGATGAGGATGTCGACGATCAGAGTGGACCATATGATGATTACGGTCCATTCAGTCAGAGACTTGATGATACGTATGAGACGCATAGGGTAGATGTGCGTAAGGGTCGAGATGGTAGGTTTGTTAGTAGATCTGGCACATCATCTGCGTCCACTGTGTCTGCGGGTAGCAGAAAACGGTCGAGGGCCGTTAATGATTCTTGGATGGTGAGGGGTGAGGTGGCCGGGGGACCTATAGACGGGAGTGTGATTCCTAGCTTTTTAGGACACATCGCTACCCGTATTTGGGAGGACCAGGAGAGGGCTTTGGATACAGGCATTTTGAAATGCCAAACCCGGGAAAAGACTTGTAGGTTTTTGTGTAGCTGGGCTGATGCTTGGCCGGAGGAGAGCGAGATGGTCGGGCGATTGAGGGCCACTAGAGTGAGTCACCTTCCTGCCACCATGCACGATAGGATTGACTGGACGCTGATCACGGCTTTCGTTGAGCGATGGCAGCCGGATACGAACTCGTTCCACCTTCCGTTCGGTGAGATGACGATCATGTTGCATGACGTCGAGGCCATCCTTGGGATTCCCGTGGAGGGAAACCGAGCATCTGTCGTCACTGATGCGGATCAGGCAGATTTACTAGCGGAGCTGTTGGCGGTGGATAGGGCTGCGCTGTACACATCGGCACTTGGTGTGTGGGATCACGGCGGCGTTAAGATCGCAGCCGTCTTGCAGCGATGTTTGCACCCTACGGCACGTAGGACGCAGGACACACAGCTGGCTGCATATGTTTTTCTTCTTTTCGGGTGTACCTTGTTTCCGGATAAGAGCGGGAACAAGCTCAGGCCACGCGACATAGTTGACGCGTGTGAGCCCGACAGAGTAGGCCAGTTTTCTTGGGGGTCGGCTACGCTGGCGTATCTGTATCGCCAGTTAGGATTCTCGAGCCGGGCTGATGCAGCAGGTATCACTGGATGTCTGACGTTGTTACAGACCTGGATATACGAGTATTTTCCTGCGTTTCGACCACACCGCGACCCGGTTCCCATTGGTGATGGCCAGCCACGTGCCTGTGCGTGGAGTCCGCGTGTCGAGAAGAAGTCCGTTGACCGCCTGCGCTCCATACGGTTATCGCTTGACAGGATGTCCCCCTTAGAGGTACAGTGATTAAATTATTTCTACTTTTACAATCTGATGCTTTATTTTATGACTGTTACTGATTTTAAATAATGTGCAGGTGAACTGGATGCCTTTCGGCCAGAACCCTAGTAATAGGGTACCCAGGACCCTCTACACTGGACTGATTCAGTATCGCGAGATCGTAGAGGCGTACATGCCGCAGCGCTGTCTTCGCCAGCTTGGATTTGTCCAAGTTGTCCCACCTCCACCGGCATGGCCCAGTAAGGCGGTACGATCTGCGTCGTCGAAGGAGTACGTCGTCCAATGGCCGTCAAACATGATATCCATGTGGGAGCAGTTTCCGATGGTTGCCCGCCTATGGACGGCGGAGCTGCAGCGGCCGCCAAGTGGGGTGACTGCCATGTGTGACCAGCACTACATGGAATGGTACATCCGGCACTCGCACCCGAGGTTGATCAAAGACATCGACGACGCAGATGATGACGATGTGCCACCTGCCACTGCCTCTTATGCGGTACGTCTCATCTTTTATTTGTTGTTCTCTTATTTTAATATATATATGTATAATACGTCGTGTCATGTTTTTTGTTTTGTGTAGTGGATGGGCAAGATTATGCAGTTGGGACACCGACTTTTTGAAGAAAGGGACTGCATGACGAGTGCATCAGGCAGAGCTGTTATTGACGATCTGGAACGGACCCTTGAGCAGTGGCAGTGGGCGTCACAGAGGGATTACTGATATTTGAAATTAGACATTATCTTTTTAGTTTGTAATATTTGACATTATTGTTCTTAGTTTTTAAAATTCAATATTATCATTTTATTTTGTAATATTTGAAATTATTGTTGTTAGTTTTTAAAATGAAACATTATCTTTTAAAAATGAACACATAGAAATGACATAGTATTGACAATACAAGGCCTCATAGTAAAAGGTAGGTGTACATCAACAAAAACTACATGGCAATTAAATTGTTCCACTGTTGCACGCGAGCATGGTACAAAGCATCCCAACCCTCCACGCTTGCTCTACGAATTTCATACCACTTCGGTATGATATTTGGGACCGGAAAATCGGGTGACATGTCTAATCGGATAAAATGTCTGTATGACGGCCCAAGAAATCCAATAACAACGTCCCTTACCGGTCTGGTGACGGTCTCGCGCGAACACCAGGGCAGAACCGTTGTACATGGATAATAGGCTCGACTATGTAAACCAAGGCCGAAATGCATGACTGCACACTTGTAGATGTTTGCAACGGCAAAGAGATCAAGTGGCGCATCCAACTCCTCCTGTTCACGGTGAACCGTATGCGGAACAGCATGCTCTCCGATAACGAGCGTCCGCCAGAATGGATGAACCTGATCGACATGTAACGACGCCCTGTCTTGCGTAATTACGCGGTGAATGGTGCATGCACAAGGTAATCCATGAGTCATTGATATAGCACATCCGCACCGAATAGCCACTTCATCGCCCAACTCCCTCATCCTGGTATACTCGCTCAGAATCAACCCCAAACAGTGGTGTGACACACGACCGTGGAGAATCTTAAATATGAAATGGCCATACAACATGCCATGTCGTCGTCTGGAGTCCTCGAGATAGTTCTTGATGCCGTTCCTCTGAGTATCAATAGCCTTGTTTATTCTCTCGAACAGTGTATCCAGAGCAGCCGTGGAAGAATCAATCCAGTCCTTCAAAGCTCTATGAGCGCTCTCGACTCTGCATGTCGTAGTGTTCCCAAAATGAAGAACTTGGTTCGTCCAATATTTGACAAACTTTTCCCTCTGAGGTACCCACTGATGCATCACATAGTCTACGATTGGCGGGCACCACTTGTACGCATCCTTTAAGTTTTCCAAGGCTCGATCGTACTCTGCCTCCGTGGTAGCTTGCAGGATCTTCCGCCACTTACCATTTACCAATCTCTCTGCTGAATCTAAGTTCTTGTTGAAAAGGTTGTAGGCTTTGACTTTCACGCAGTTGTTGATGTGCCATGTGCACAGTAAATGGCTCGACTCCGGAAACAGCTCCGCTATAGGGGCAAAAAGACCTCCCTCACAATCACTTACGATGGCCGATGGCTGTACATTTGGGCCGATGTAGTTTCTCAACTTTTCCAACACCCAACGGTAACTCGCAGCCGTCTCATCCTTCATGACTGCATAACCAATCAGAAAGTTCTGGTTCGTTGGAGCCATCCCAACCATCTCAACCAGTGGGAACTTGTACTTGTTTGTCTTGTACGTTGAATCGATCAAAATCACAGATGGCCAAGACGAAATCATATCAGCACAATCAGGATGGACAAGGAACAAATGAGTTACCTCCGATGTGTCTTCGTCAGATTCAAACCAGTAAAGGTAACCACGTGCTTGTGCCTGGTGCAGAAGCTGCTGTATAGGGTTCCTTCCCTCTGACCGTTCAAACCTCAATTTCTGTCTGACGTTGTAGATGTGTCTTCGGTTTGGCTGGTCTTCGGGGAATTTCTCTAACACAGACGCTAATATTTTAGCGGGCTTCACTTGAGCATCACTCATTTCTTTTACAACTAGTTTCGCAGCTGGACTTAGGCCGCTTAACTGCCGATGCCCCACTTTGTATGCTATCAGCTCATGGTTGTGATATCCCCATTTGTCGTAACCCTTCACTTCCCAACCGTCACGCCTTTGATGTTGTCGAACCTTAACTCGGAACTGACACCCACAACCTTTCCGCTTTGAGTCAAACCGAATCGCTTTACTGAAATCTCGTTCTTCTCTTTTGCGATAACGGTCGCATCTCAAAATGCGATCCATTCTACCATCCCGTTGAGATTTATGAGTTGCTACTACTAAACAAAAGCCTGATCTAATTGCAACCTGTTTTGCCCAATCAATCGCTTGTTGAGCATCTTCGAACAGGCCATCATGTACAAAAATCCCACTGTAATCATTTCCGTCTCCACCATAATCC